TTATTTATTTATATCTTTTTATATATTTAAATAAATAAATAAATATTTATAAATATGTGTATATATAGGTCAAAAAATCTGATTTTTGAAATGTAAAAGTTGTTTTGTTATTTTTGAAATAGGGTAAAGATAAAGTAGGGAAAGTGAATTTTTCCCGATTAAATTTCAAAACCTAAACCAAACTGTCAAAACCGTTTCGTTGAAGTGTCTATGTAGTACCAAACCGATGATTTTAAAAAGGCGTTTTCGTTCATTTTCGATTTGATGATTTTTGATAATAGCCCCCATTAAGCGTCAAAATAGAGTTGATTACCTTTTCTCGTCGCCTTGCATCAATGCAGGGAATTTCTCTGAATCCTGAGCCAAGGCATATCTAGGCAGAGCCTAGACCCTTTAAGAACAATGAGTTTAAAGAAAAGCTCTCATTGTACAAGAAGAAAGTTATTTGCATGATGGTGGACTGGAGACACAAAAGGCGATTGGCACGATACATGAGTAATAGCAAATTGAATTGACGCAATTTTTATTTTCTTGGGGTAACCTAGTAATGTGGAGTGGAGAAGCAAAGGCAATAGGTGGTTGCATGAAGTAGAGTTGGAGCAGAGTTAAATGCAGTAGCACAAGGAATCTACAAACTATTACGCTGAAATGGTTGCTTACCTTACTAAAGATTGAGTTAGAGTTTCCAATAAAGTACCATTGCGACAGTTAAGCATCAATTAATATATTGCTCGCTATCTGGAGCAACAAGATAAGACAAAGCATGCCGAGGTAGACTTATCATCAAGGAAAAAGACAGAAGATGGACCACTCTGTTTGCCTTATATTCTTATAGTAAAGTGGCCACCGACATACTAACTATGAGATTGACTTACAACTACATGAGCATCCATTTGATGATAATCAAGCAAACTAGGAACAAATGATATATTTGTTCCAGGTTTGGGGATGTAGATTATTACGTGTATAGTTAGAAACATCTGTAAACACATATCGTAGATTTATTCTCTTCAGTCTTCACCATATTTTTTCGTAAACAAATAAGTATGACTTAGGTGCAGCCATGAAGCAGTAGGAACTGAATCCCGTTCATACCAAAAGTTTTCTTTCCTATCTATCATATACATTACATCTTTTTCCTCAAATATCAGAAAGAACCCTGGTTCAATGGCCCTGGGTACAAAGAAAGTAAGGCCAATGATTTAACTCTTTCCATTTATAAAACATCATGCTTCATCTCCAATCCCACTATGAATCTCTAGCTCCTATCATAGTATATGCCTTTGATGCTACATCGTACACCTCCTCTAGATTAAGAAGTACCAACCAAAATCATATGGAGTATGTATACAACATCACTCAAGCACTAGTAGAAGTTCATTATCTCATTTGAAATTTTAGCAAATAAAAGCAGGAGCATTTACTGTTGTTCATTTACCTGAATCCGAATGTAGTAATTAATAAGCAAAGCACCACCTAATTTCCCAGACTTTTTGAGACCCAAATATATAATGCATATAACCTTTAAAGGGTAAAATTACAGGCACAAATGCCCCATATTAAACCGGAAATGAAATTCCAAGACACGTGGACATGAAGACAGTTCACACAGATAGAATACGTATACCTACGTCCGTATGCACACATCCACGCATAGAGAGAAAGACAAGACTAACCTTGAGAGGGTGAAGACCAGCTTTGAGATCGAGTGCGATGCGCTCGCGTTCTTCGATTTCTAGGTCGGCGGGAACGGAATAGGCAGCCGGCGGCGTCTGAGTATTAGCTGTATTGTCTCCGGTGTTGTAGTTCTCCTGTTCTTTCTTGTCTACTACCAATTCCATTAAGCTTTGCTATCAGCTCCCAAGCCCTAGCTTTTACAATTTGTACTATCCGCGGCCGGCCGCACTTTTGAAATGACCAGTCAAATCCTCCCATCACCACGTAAGTCTCGTGTCAAAACTGTTCTCATGTGGTTCAATTTTTAGTTTCTAATTATGAATTCATTTAGAATTTTGTATTTTGTCTGTTATGAAATTATTGAAAATACGTTTTTTTTTGTCATTTTAAAAAATTGTTTCTCAAAACAGAAAATTGAAAAACGCGTTTACTTTGAAATTTTAAAAATTATTTTTTTTATAATATTCTATTCAAGAAATGTGATTATTCAATAAATTTTAATAGTTTAATGTTAATATAATATTAAATAACATATATTAAAACTTTAACCACTTAAAATTTTTTTTTTTTTCCGGATATAAAAAAAACAGCCTAAATTAAATTGACAAAACAATTCAATAGATACGATTAGAAATTTACATGTCATGACAAAATAAATCCGCGGAATCATGTACAATGTCTTGAGTAGCCATTCCACATTTGTGTAGTAATTTGATCACTGACTTGTCCCATTTGAGCTGTTTGACTAGCATCAAAATGTATGACTTATTGATCTTGATTTGACTCTGGTACATCTTGAAACGCCATATTCTCATCTGAATACTCAGTGAACAACATATCTAAAGCGTGCTCCTGACGAATAAAGTTGTTTATTGCACAACATGCAATATGGATTTGTCTTTGCCTACTAAGTGG